TTCTTTCTTCTAGTTATTTTATCTTGTTTATTCAATTTACCCTACTCTACGTCTATTATTATCTGTTATCTCACTGTCAATGAAATTAGTTTCAGTTTCGCGACGGGAAGAGAGATAAATCTCTCTTCCCGTCGACCGCACAGCTCGAAAAACTGTGTACACGTTTTTCGAGCTGTGCGGTCTGCGGTCTGCGGTCTGCGGTCTGCGTTCTGCTTTTTCGAGGTCTGTGTTAACGAGACACCTGAGTTGCTTTGTACGATTGTACCAAAAATGATTTCATATTTTGGCGCAAAAATGGAAAACATGCTCGAGAACCAAACGGATCAAAGAGAGGTTTTTATTCTTATTTCATTGCTGTTCATTACTTGATTTATCTCTCTTCCCTTTGTCATCAAACAAGATCTCGGAATGCGTCGCGAAACTGAAACTAATTTCATTGACAGTGAGATAACAGACAAACATAGACGTAAAGTAGGGTAAATTGAATAAACAAAATAGAATAACTAGAAGAAAAAGCAGTTAAATTAATGAATGACAGGGTTGTATAAAATTTATGTATTATTATATCTAATATTTTAAATGATTATTTTTATTATTAAGTATTAGCCACACCCACGACTTTTACCCACACCCACACCCACACCCACACCCACACCCACACCCACACCCACACCCACGACCCACGACTTGTACCCACGACACACGACCCACGACCCACGACCACTAGTCAAACTCGCTAGGAGCGGTCAATTAAACAAGAATTACATAATGGAAATCGGCAGTTAAACAGGAATTACATAAGGCGGTAAATCGGTGTTTACTCTTGCACAACAGGACAAGGGCAGGTAAAGGAATAATACAATTAACACATTACTAATACAGTTAACACATTACTAACACAATTAACACATTACTAACAAATCGCTAAAGTTCCAGAAAATAAAATAAACAGAACAAACATGTTTTAAGTAGAAAATAGGCCTAAGTGACTCTGTTACATTGACACTGTAACATCATTATGTTCCTGTACAGTGGTCATATTGAAAACTTTTTCGAGTAGATGACAGTAATCATGTCTTCCATGAAATACTTACAACTCCATGGAAAAAGCAAACCAACATTCGCGATATATCGCTTGTATAATAGTAATATTGGTTATGTACGAAAGACCAAATCGTACTTTACAAGTATTGAACCTAATAAAAACCAATAACAGAAACAGGATTTTTAACGGAAGAGCTAAGCTTACATATTTAACCTTACTATTTCAGTTGCTTGTGTCAGTATCCTGTTGTTAGCGCCACCTTCAAAGTTGTGTTCGCGAACATTCTAATTTTATCAGAGGTGTTCGTCTCCGCATCATAGTTTGTTGTTACATCGGCTGTTCCAGTTTTGCCAGAGTTTTCGTAATTTGAACTCACATATGGCTCATTTGTTATCTCGGAAGAACTAGTATGAACTTTGCACATTTGGCTAGCTTTCGAGCCATAGAGTTCGTGGACCGGACCATTCCGAAAACGCCCGACATCATTTAGCGTGGGCCCACCACAAACGGCGTGTGCGTTTGTATGTGAGATGAGCGTATAAGACAGGAATCTTCGCCACATGGTCTTCACCAAACACAGCATTCTGTAAATTATGTTATTTACAAAGAGCGAGTTCATGACAACGTAACGAAAGTTGTCACACTCTCATCCCCAGTTTCCGCACTTTAAGCAAGGAACGCCTGAGACTATGACCCCCCTTTTAGCGACTAACAACGGCTTGCATTTTAAGACTCGGGCTTTCCCACAAAAGCCCGATTAATTACAATCCCAATCAGATACGGCCTAAATTCAACTCAATTTATACCAGAATAGTTGCGAATGGCCACGTGCATTTCTCCTCACTGGGAATCTCGGCTGAGCTATTTTTAAACCTCGCTCTGAGGTCCACTCAGAGCGTGAAGTTCCCTTGGAAGGCTTTATTTCATGTGTTCAGTATGGCGGAACGAACTGAGCGATCATCTGAAAACGTCCAAGACCCTCCTGTCGGTGTTTCATGCAATGATGAGCACAAATGAGCGCCACATAATTAAGGTACTTGTTTGTCTAATTTGTGTCAATTAATGCTAAAAGGGCACTAATTATGGCAGTTTGAACGCTGCTACGTATAATTGTAAGCGTTGAGATTCTTTCGTTTTGAAACATTTTTTGTAAATCTCACTATTTGGTCCTTAAAATTTGTTTTGTAGTTTTTTATCAGCTGAAACACAATGGATACATCTCCAAAAAATACTTGGCAAGTTTTTTGATGTTAAAGATTATTCAGATCATGAATTAGATAATTTAAACTGGGAGAACAAGTTAATTAGGTTGATTCAGAGTGACCTAGTGACATGTGCACAACATTTTGGTTACCAATCAGCTTTTAAGGCGCCTTCTAATGAGCAATGCTGCTTCCTTAGGAAAAATTTCAGACTAGTTTCAGAGTTGAATACCAGCAGACAGGCTCACCACATGTTTGTATGTTAAGTTGACTTGAAGATGCACCAGTGTATTATTGATCGAATAATCACTTGAGAAAAATCAGTTAATGATCCAGAACTGGGACTGCTTGTCAACAAACAGATTCATAAGCACTCTCAAACTCGCGTAAAAAATCAAAGATGGAATGCAAATTTAATTATCCACAGCCTCCAATGAAATCAACCACCATTTTACATCCTATTGGCAGTGATGTTTCTGAAAGTGACATATTAGAAAACATAAAGAATATTGCAAACATATCAGTAAGCATTAGAATGATATGAAAGAGGCAGATGACATCACTTTTGAACAAATGCTAATTAATCTGGACATCACTGAACAAAACTATTATCTTGCTATTTGATCCAACCTAAATTCTCCCACCATATTAAAGAAATCCTAATGAACAACTACAACAATGTATGTCTAAGTGCATGGAGAGCAAATATGGATATAATTATAGTTTGTTTTGGATGTTTATGCTTGTGCAATGTACATTGTATCATACAATTCAAAAGCCCAGAGGGGAATGAGTCAGCGTTTTACAACAAGGATGTGAGGAGGCAAAGAAAGGAAATCGAAATTGCAGCATAAAGCAGCAAGAGTGAGATATTGAGAATAAATTTTTAAATAGTCTGGAGATCAGTGCTCAAGAGGCAGTTTACTTATAGTTCATCAGCTACCAACAAGGAAAAGCTCTCGAGAGGTGATTTTTATCACCACTTCATTCCCTAAAGAGAAAGTTCAGCTTTTGAAACCAATGAATGAAATAGAAGAAATGGAGGATGACTCTGAAGACATTCCCTCTACTGGTCTTATTAAGAGGTACATAGAAAGACCAACAAGCATAGAGAATGTTACTGGCTCATTGGGCTGCATAATGTATAATTCACCCAAAAACTAATTTGGGAAAAAATCTAAAAGTTTGAACACAGATAACCTCGTACTTCAAACAGGGAAAGATGATGATGATGATGAATTCGCTGATTCAATGTGAAATCTTACTCTTAGGAACATTTCTGTGAACTTATGCTTCTTACTCGTTGGTGAAATGAAAAAGCTGATTTAATAGGTAGTAGCTCTTCATATCAGGAGCATTTCCTTCTCTTGAAAGCAAAAGTAGAGAAACAAATGCATCAGTATGCTGTCTGCAGTGAATATATGAATGACATTGAACAGTATTTACATGACACAGAAGTTAGTGATTCCCAGTATGACTTAGTAGCACCAAATGCTCAAAATGTTGAACTGCAAGATGAAGGAAGCTCTTGGTAACGAAGATTTACATTCTGATTTCAATGAACATTGACCTTTCAGATGATTTCAAAATTCCTTCCACATCACACCACAATGAGCCACCTATATTAAGTGAATTACCAGATGATGATTATCGTGGAATGGTTTAGATTTTAAATAAAAAGGAAAAAGAATTTTTTTTAATCGCATTTTGCACCAGAGTGAAACCACAAAAACTCCTTTTTATTGCTTTCTGAGTAGTGGAGGTGGTGTGGGCAAATCACATCTTCTGAAAGCCTTGTATCAGGCAACCTTTAAGTATTTTTAATTAACACATAGCGCTGGCAATGATTTTCATCAAATTAAGGTGACTTATTATTGGGTTCAACTGGGAAAGCTGCTGACAACATTAAAGATAAAACTATTCACAGTGCATTTGCTATTCCTGCCTATCAGTCATTGAAAAATTACAAACAATATATCTTGACTTAATAGACAAAACACCTTGAGAACTCACTTTGGAGGTGTCAAATTGATATTCTTGGATGAAGTTTGAATATGTTTGCCATACAGCTTAACAATAGGCTTAAAGATAGTAAGGGTTGCAAAGATGATTTTGGTGGTGTTTCTTTTATCACCATTGGTGATTTGTTCCAGTTAGAACCAGTAATGGATGGCTACATATTTAAAGACCTCCAAAATTCAGTTTACACAGTTCTTGCTCCAATTCTGANACCTTTGAAGGCTTATATATAACTGATCTCTGTGAAGACAAAATTGTTATCCATGCCACTGTTGAGAAAGAAATGGAGTGATTAAAGGCCCATTTCCAACCGAGATGCCTTGCGCGCCTGGATAATTTTTCATATATGAAAAATACGCCATTTTCCTCGTAGTTGTGGTGTCGCTTTGATATCTTCTTGCATCTTACTAATTAGGGCTTTCAAAGTTCCATCTTGAATCGTGTGCGAACAGCAATTTATCGTAGTATCGATATCAGTAGTTTTTAATTCTTACATGTATGACGGTGAAAAACGTTATTTGAAAAGTTGATGGCACCGAAGAAGCAGTCAAGAGGAAGGCCCAGTCTGCCCGGCTTGGCACAGGTTAGTCGACTTCAAGAGTCTGTGTATGATTTATAGAGGGCAAGGAAAATAACCATGGGTTTCAGCAACACTACAGACAGTGCTTTTGCAGAAATGCTATTGCATTGTTCCTACGATGGAACTAGAGACTCTGGGGATATTTTTTCGAGGTGAGAATAATTATTTGACTGATTTTTACTTGAGATCCTGAGATATGTATGTAAGCGATCTCATTTGTACAAGTCATCATTCTGTAATTGAAATGAGTAAAGTAAACCAGTTTTGGCCAATATTGGTTATTTGTTTATATTCTCTTTAGTGCTGAAGCCGAACGATTTCCTTCAACATCAGGTAAGCTTTTATACAGACTCGATTTATGATTTTTCAGTCTCAAATATTTAGCTGCAAAATTGTTTTCTCTGTTCTTCACCAAATCCATGTTTTTCTTTTTAATTGTGTCTGTGAATGAGTATAGCAGTAGCCTCCCAGCTATGTCCACTCCAGTTCGTGCAGACGGCCCTCAGTGCCCAAATTTGCCTCCTTCAAAACAGATTGGAATGTCAAGTACAGTCTCTGACAGGTAACTGTCTCTTTTAATAACTGCCATTTTGAAAAATGGCAGTTATTAAAAGAATTTGGGACAGGGTTTTTAAAATGTATATATATATATATATATATATTTATATATATATCTATATTTAATATTTTCTACTGAGTTTTTGTGCCGAATAGTTTCTGCTACTGTAATTATTAGAGATACTGTGATATGTGATTCAAACAAAATGTGATTTGTGTACAGTTTGTATTGGTTGTGACTCTTTTTACATGGACCTTTTTTGGTGGTTGATTCCAGAAATAAGTGCATACAAAAAACGGTACCAACATGTGTAATAATTATTTTTAGATGGCTGCAAGTATTTACCCTTGATTGTTTTATTGTATTCAAGTTTTGTTGATATCACTGGAGATCCAGAGAAATCAAGGTTGGAGGTGTTTGCACAAACCAATGACAGTTTGGCAGGGAATCCCTATTCTGTTCTTAGTCCTGATGAAAATGATAGTGCAGACAGTGACAATGCAAGTGAAGCAGCTGAAAGTGTCCTTGCCATCTCAGCCTTCGACAACCACCAATATCTAGAGCTGGAACAAAGGTATACTCACATTTGGCTATACTGTATACCCTGTGTATACCTGTGTACATCTGGGACATGTTGACTTCTCATGAGCATGCTGCAGTAAGAGTTGTATG